GATTCTTTTTCAGATGCAATCCCTGTCAGTGATTTATCTTGGATTTGCAGCTGTCCTCATTTGTAGCATCTATGAGGCACAATCTAATCCACTCGCTGAATATTCGATAAAGGCATACTTTTTTTCAGATGCAATCCCTGTCAGTGATTTATCTTGGAATTGCAGCTGTCCTCATTTGTGGCATCTAAGAGACGCAATCTGCTCCACTCGTTGAATATTCAATAAAGGCATGATTCTTTTTCAGATGCAATCCCTGTCTGTGATTTATCTTGGAATTGCAGCTGTCCTAATTTGTAGCATCTATGAGGCACAATCTGCTCCACTCGCTGAAGTTGTTGAACATGATGACAACATTGCAGCTCAACCTGTGAAAAGGTACTTCTTGATCGAGATAAATACAATATATAAACAAGTACGCGGTAGCTAGGCATTTATCAAGAAACGGACATTGTTTTTTATACATATTGTTTTTACAGTTCAACAAGTTTACATAATAATTGTATTAATATGTATGCACTGCACAATGTACTAAAAATGAATTCATGTTGTGTGTAAGAAATTTGTTCAGTGTTGAAATCAATGAAAAAACTTGATTTACTGCTCAAAGGTTAATGCTTGTTTTAAGTCTTGCCTTTAATTTTCTAAAATAGTTCAGTCAAATCTCAAATTAATTTTTCAACAATTACTTATTTAATGCACTGCATGTTCTATGAAAGGTCTCACGATTTAACAAATCTTACTTCTGTATTATGAAACGTTACATTAATTGAAAAAAGTATTCAGGACTATAAAATATCGTCATTTGCTTTTGAATTACTTCAATCCACTAACGTACAACTTGTCTATGCTAACTCAGAGTCGATATTTGTGTATCATCATACAGGGTTACCCCAAAAACAGAGCCCTCTAAAAATGTTATAATTCTTTTAATTCATGTATGATCATTTTTTATTTTCCATGTACAGAAACAATCTATGGATGACAATGTAACAACAAATTCGTAACACAATCTTAATATTCTTCTTGTTATTGTCAATTAAAAATGTGCCCACTTTTGAAAGAAAAGAACAATTCAAGATTTTTGTGTCAAGCAAAGGCTTCCTCATCCTTCGTTTAAACCAATCACATTCATTTGGCTTAGAGGTTAAGATCATTGATGAGGGATTGTCCCAGCAACATTCAAGCCATTTTTAGGTATGACTGCACCTTGTGAGTGACATTTTGGAACTACGTTCAATGCACTCACACACAGTGCTATCTGGTGTTCTCATAACCAATTCTAAAAAACTCCCTAGATAGGCAAACTGATCATTTTGTTTACGCAGGTGCTTAACAGTTCTCCTTTCTTCATCTTCGCTATCAGAATTAAATATTTGACTTTGATATCACAATCCTCTTGGCTGATCATTCAGCTGCCTTAGTTATTTCTTGAGAATTCTTTTTTATTTTTATTTATTTATTTGCCAACACTTTTATAACAGTGGCACATGGATTATTATCCAGTGCGGCTACATACAACTATACAATATGAATAGAATACAAAGTCATGTATAATTTCTTTAAAACAATGTTGCATATACTAAAATAATCAAAGACATAAATCTCTGGGCTTGTACACTTGGGTTAAAAAGCGTTTTACAATGCTATCAAATAATCTAAAATAGTCTTGCCCCCATTTTGAAAAAGTCTCATCACCAAGAATAAAGGTCAATTTTTCAGTCAGATTGCCCTTAATGAAATCAGAAAATAAATCGGAGGGACATTGCTTACAAACAGTGTGGAAAAAAGATTCACGTTCTTCTTTAAAATGTTCACACAGCAGCAACCTATGCTGTAAGTCTTCATGTACATTCAAACTACAAAGTTTACATTTGCCATCACTTTTGCCCCATACAGAGTAATTGGATTCAAGGCAAAAATTGTTGGTTCTTGCAAGAAATTTGAGTCTAGAACCATAAAAATCAAAGTCTTGTTTTAGATAATTTTCTTGGTTTGGATGGTTCTTAAAGGTGGAATAAGTATTTAGGGATTTATAGTGGGAAATGTCATCAATAAAATTAGTGGTGCGTTCCTGTCTACAAATGCCTTCATAGGTATTGTACCACTCACAGTCATCTCGAAAAAGAACGTCATCAAGGCCTCTCTTGATTAAAATAGACTTTATGTTAGACACATATTTCCAAGGGGCTTCATTACCTTCACTATGTTGGTTTATCAAATGAGTTAAAACCTTATGGGGTAGGGATGAATGGGCTAGGTCAAACTTTAGGTATTTAAAGTAGGCAATTTGTCGTTTTTCAATTGTGAAGTCAATGGGAGTCCAACCGAGATCTCCCAATAGGGCTGGTCTTGCGGGTTTACACTTTAATTGTAAAACAGCTTGCGCTGCTCTGTATTGTATTGACTTCATCAGAGCTATGTTACTTTTGGTAAGTGTCCATATAGAACATCCAGATAAAATTGCAGACTCAATCATAGAGTGATATATTGTTTTTCCGAAATTTACTCTCTTAACATTGCAATGTTTAGTAAGAGTTGATGATAGGTACCCATTTAACATTCGTGATTTCTTAGATACATGTACATCAATGTGATGAGAATCTTTTAAGTTCCTGTGGAAAAAGGTTCCCAAGTATTTATATACATTAACTTCAGAGAGTTTTAGGTCGCCAAATTTCCACAGTTTAGTTGAATCAACTTTTTTTCCAATGACCATTACCTTTGATTTCTTTTTGCTAAACTTAAAGCCCCACTTTATTCCAAATCTGTTAACAACGTTCAGAAGGAGTTCAAGGTCTTTACCAGATTCAGCAGTTAGGACAATATCGTCAGCAAAGAGCAAACATGGGATTTTGAAGTTCTCAAAAGGGAGCCCTGTGTCAACCGATTTTAGGGAGTCCTCTAGGTCACTCATGACAACTATGAACAAGGTTGGGGAGAGGATACAGCCCTGCTTGACTCCGGTTTCAGAGTCAAACCAGTCTGTGGAATTTTGTCCAAAAATTACCTTATTTTGAACATTATTATATAATTCTTTCAAGACACGCCATAATTTACCCTGGATACCCTTTTCCCATAGTTTAATAAATAATAAGTCTCTATCTAGCACGTCAAAAGCTTTTGAAATATCAATAAATGATAAATATGTTTTAAGACGTTTCGATTTTCTAAGAGAACATAGACCTTTCAGAGTGAATACATGATTTTCAAGTCTCTTACCCTTCTGGAAGGCTCCTTGGAGGTTTCCGAGAAGACCATTTTGTTGAAGGAAGTTCATAATTTTTGATTCCAGAAGGCCGGAAAAGAGTTTGTAAATATTGGATGTAATGGTAATACCTCTGTAGTTATCAATGACTTCAGGATCATTTTCTTTGTGAAGTGGTTTAAGTAAGCCTTGCTTCCATTCATTTGGGATGGCTTCATGGTGCTTTATGAATGAAAATAAATGGAAAAGAGGTTCTGCAATAAAATTCTTACAATTCTTTAAAAATTCATTTGGGATCTGATCGATGCCAGAGGCTTTACCATTTTTCAAGTTGGATACAAGTAATTTTACGTCTTCTACATTAATGGGAATGTTAGAGAGGGCATTTTCAGATATATCGTTTAAAGTTTCCAATGATGCAACCTTTGCTGCATTACCATCAGAGCTAGTTTTAGGGTTTTTATTATTAATGCCAACATTTTTCCAGTAATTCAATAACGTTTCTTGAACTTTCTTGGGGTCAGTAATAATAAGCTCGGGATTTTCAGGGTCTTTAATTTGAATAGGGTAATTGCTTCGTTTGTTGAACATGGTTAGGGTTCTCCAGAAGCTTCTGGATGATGCAGTTTTGTTTTTAGCATTTAAGGTTATTACTTTAATGTGATTTTTAACATATTTTTCTTTGATCTTCAGAGAAACCTGTTTTTTCCTTTCAATATAAGTGTCCCATAGTTCCTGTAGAACATTGGGGTTGGCAGATTTTGACTTTGACCAGTACCTATAAAAACGATTGGCTTCTTTCCTACTGTATATAAGATCTTTGATTTCATCATCCCAAAAACTTCGACAATCACTAGAAACAGATTTTACACCTACTGACTTAGTTCCAGCATTTATAACTTTAGATTTCCACGAGGACCATATACTTTCAACATCATTAAATTGACTGGTGTCCCATTCCATAAATTCATTTTTAATGCAACGTTCAAAGTGTTTCCAGTTCGTTGAGTCTTTAATATCCCATTTAGTAAAGGTAGTACATTTTGGTTTTAAAGCAGGGTCAGGTTTGGATTGTTTGGATGAAACATTAACTATAATAGAGTTGTGGTCACTGCCTATTGAAAATAATTTGTCTTCATCTACCACCATTTTATCAAAGATAGTTAAAAAGTTTTGGTTAGCAAGGGCATAGTCGATTACAGAGGACTGGTCATTTCTAGACCATGTAGTTACGCCATCACATGATTTTGACAGGTTTAAAATATGCAAGTCAGAGACATTACAAAAGTCCTCCAGCAAGTCCCCATTAGGACTTTTTTGACCAAAATGTCTGAAAGATTCAATTTTCCCATTAAAATCACCTATGATGATACATTTGGCATTGTCTTCAAGAGAATTAGTGTTACACAGAAGCTCATCATAAAGACTTTTACTTAAGTCCATGTCTTTGCCATCACATGGAAAATAAACGATACATGCATAAAATACAATATCATCCTTTTTAAACTTCAACCAGTATCTCTCAAAAGGGTCAGTCTTAGAATTGAGGACATTATCATTTAGGATGGTGACATCCTTTTTGACAAAGAAACCGATGCCTCCACCCCCTTTAGCATGACGGTTTTTACCATGCCAAGAGAAAGAGTCATGGACAATAGAAAGAGGGTAACTAGAGTCGTTTAAAAAGGATTCAGCTATGGCAAAAATGTCAAAATGGTTGGAATCAAGCATATGCTTCATTTCAACTTGTTTGGCCAAACCAAGTCTTTGAACATTATTATAACCAATGCAAATGGCACATTTGGAATGTTTCTGTCTGCGTCCTCTACGAGTTTTATGTTTAGTGTGATGAGACTTCGGGGGTATGGCTTTTACGTAGCCAGTGTCCTATCGATCCCCTGCTGGGCTAGAGCCATTGTTGCATCGGGATGATTTGTGCCCTAATTGATTGCAGGAGTAACATCTGACTGCATTTGGGTGCCAACATGAGCTGGCCAGGTGAGATGTCTCCCCACATAAGAAACATGCCGGTTTCGAGGGTACATTGGGTTTATTATTTGTTGGTGTCATGGGGTTAGGGCGTTGATTTCTAAAGTTTCTAGATTTTACAGTCTGCCAGTTTTCGTTCTTAGAGCTTGGAGTGGCATCACGCTGGGGAATGGACTGGTTGGGGTTCCTACGAGGGTTGAACATTTTGGTTATGTCACTTTTATGATCTGGTTTGGGGACGAGTTTCATATTTTGGGCCAAACTGTTAGTACCACTTTTAGTTAAGTGCAGGCCTTTAAAATCTAAGAAACCAGTATTGATGGAGTTGTTTTGAAGACGGAAAGTAACGTCATTATTGCTGAATGTGAGGTTAGGGTCCTTCTGACAGAGTTGGTCTAGTTGAGCATTGACCGTCTCGGCCATCTCTTGAGATAGGGGCTTGTCTGTACGTGGGCATATACTTGAGACGCAAATGTCTTCACAAACATGTTTTGCTCCTTTGAGTAGGAGCTCATAGTCATTTATGACACTTTGAGCTGTGGCATCCTTTTTCGTAGTGTCATTGCTCCCAACTTGGAGAACTAGGCGGTCGTAAGATTTGTCAAGTGATGTGAGCTTTTTGTGGACATCTTTAATAGTCCCTCCGCTGATGCAGTCCACATCAGTGTTGATGAGTTTACTTGGGTCAATGGACCTCACTATAGAGCTGCCAATTACTAAGGTATTATTAGTGGTTGTGTCATTGTCATTTGATTTAGACTTGATGGCTGTCAGTTGCTTTCGAAGATAAATATTCTCATCATCAAGTTCCTTATATGCAGCTGTTTTAGCAGCGAGCTGGGACACGAGGTCTGTATTAGTGGCAGTCATAGCGTGTAGATCCATTTGTATGGTCTTCACATTCGAGTTGAGGTCAATGATAGCAGATTTCATATCAGTGATCATTGATGCTAATGCTTCAAGCGATGCATTCATCCAATGGAATGCCATGCAGTTTTAAGGTTTTCTTCCCCAGAAGCCGGGAACTTCAGTCATCTGATTGTATTACAATTGTCCATTCTTCATGTTTTTAATTAAGATATTAACTGAGACTTTGATTTCATGTCTTCTTTGGAATTTCCTTCTGGATTTCTTTTAAAATCTCAAGATATGATTTTGTGTCAAAATTGGTTTTCCAAAAATTTAAAGAACATCCATGATGTCACAAATAATCCATTGTGAGTAATAAACCTAACGGTATTTTATCATCTATTGCAACAGGGGATTTAAGAAGTTATTACACTTTTAGAGGGTTCTGTTTTTCGGGTCACCCTGTATATATAAAAGCAGTACTTAAAAGAATGCATACTACAATGTAATATCATTCTCACAAAACTACCGATTAAGAAGAGTCAATATCACATGGGGTGCCTCAAGGATCCGTATTTGGACCTGTCTGATTTATACTTTGTGAAAATGACATGTACAAATCTTCTAATTTCTTTGATTTTATCATGTTTGCTGATGATTCAAACCTATTTGCCTCTTATAAAACCATTGATAGTCTACTTACTATCTCCAATAATGAATTAAACAATATTGACAACTGGAGTAAAGCGAACAAACGTTCTTTAGATATTGATAAAACCAAATCAATCCTATTCGGACCAAACAAAGAAACTAACCTTACAATAAAAATTCGGCAAAAACCCATTGCACTTGTTAACAATGTATCATTCCTAGGTGTAACTGTTGACAACAAACTGTCCTTTAAGACTCACATTAAAAATATTGAAACTAAGATTTCTCAATGTATTGGTATTCTACACAGGGTCTACAACTTACAACTCACAAACGTCAATTTTTACTACTCTCTTATTCATTCACATATGAACTACTGTAATCTTATTTGGGGAAATAACTACAAAAGCAATCTCTCTAAAATTCATACCTTACAAAAAAAGCTTTATTCTCCTTGTTTTTGGCAAGGAACAGGTGGAATATTCTGCACATTTATTTAAGGATCTTGGCATTTTAAATATACATGACCCCAATAATGTTTACACGGGAATGACCCCAAATTATTAGAATCTCTTAAATATAAAAAATATCTAAAAATGAAACTATTCATAACCATGATTCCAGGCAAATAGGTAATTATCATATTGATAAGGCCAATAGCTTTTCTATCAGAAAATTTGGACCACTCTTGTGTAATGACCTTGACAATGTAATAAGAAATACTGAATCTCTTTGCATTTTTAAAACAACATATAACAATGCTATTTTATCATCATATATGTAACCTTGTGTAATGTTTTTTTCTTCTACTTTTCTGGCACAATATGTAAACTTGTACATCATTTGTTTTTCGCTTTTACACCTCATGTAAATATATAGTTTTATGTTAACCTGTATTACTTTTAGGACTATTACTTTTTTGCCTGCTAATTGTTATTCGCTCTTCTTATATGCTGATATATGCCTTGTTGTGTCTCTGTGTGTAACATGTAGCTTTTATGTAAATACTTTATATAGCAATAAATAAATAAATACATGAAAAATAAATAAGCTACAAATGCTCGAAACTGCTTTTGTTTGTTTTACAGATGTCAATTTGGATGCACTGGACAAACAGGTTGGAATTAACACATAATAATCAGTGCTTAATTTTTTAGAATAATCATTAATAACCAGACACAGTCTGATCCTGACCTAATTATAACTTTTAAAGGCTAGATACAATGGCAACAGGCATGGCCTTGCGATAATCACTTTTATTCACTGAATAACCGACCAACTGATTATCGAGACTGATTAAACTTCAAAGGGCCAATTACAAATGACACTGCTGGAATACAATAATAAGATGACCAACCTGTCTGTGATAAGAAGTATAAAGGAATTTAAAATGTATCTAACATATTATACAATTAGACAGACTGGCTATTCTAATCCGTTATGAAAAGCCATTTGTTTTTTTCACTACAGGATGTTTCTACGGAAGTTAATTTGTTTATCTTAGTGTTTAGAGGCATTGTCCCTTGACGCTTTTATGAAATGAATGAACATTGTGATGAACTACAATTGTATATTTTTACAGGAACAGTTATCTTTATCACCAAAGTAGAGCACTTGTTACATTATTTTCACTTTAGGTCTCTCTTATTAGTTGCATTGCAGAAGTCTAATGTTATTCTCTCCGTGTGCCGAAAGTACTTATACCCGTAGCTAAGGGGTGGGGGTGGTTCAAGGAGTGCGAGTGAACAGAATACGAATTGAATACAAAATAAATACGTAACATATAAATATATAAGTATATGATGTCTAGCCAAGTATTCTTACATTTTCTAAACTTCAAATGCACCTTTTGACGATAAATACTTATGTTTCTCTAGCTTGTTTTTATATTAATTTGGCAATAAAACATGCATAAAGAGATAGCAAATTATGCACCGTGCACAACCCGAATCCTCTCCCCGATAGGGTCGCGTTTACTGTGTATGTAATAATGTACAAAGGTAATGTGATAAAGACAATAATGCTCCCCCCCCTCCCTATTGCAACATTTTGTCAATTAATAGTATTAGGTCGGAGCATCAACACACGTTTGATTGAAATAATTCAAATCAAAGTTTCAAATGAATAAAGAACATGAAGATTCTGTTTGACATTCGAGAACAAGAATTTGTCCAGTCAAAAATAGATTTCTAATATTTGATCTTGATTAGATGTATTTATTGATCCTCGTTTTTAAAACTACAGATGGTTTAAGATCATTTCTAAAGTAAACAAAAAATAATCCTATACACGATTACTTGGTTCCCATGATACTGCCTATAACCTATAATACTCATTTATCAAAACAAATATTAATTAATCCGTCTGTCTGATTACATTTTGTTCCCTGACTCAAACTAAGCAAACCCAGATTACAGTTCTTAATTCTTCACTTGAAATGATTTAACCAACATGATACAATATGAAATTTGATTAATTTTACATGTATAAAGCCTATTGTTATCAAAACCCATAAATGCTCACAATATGAATAAAGTTTATTGATGGCCAATAACAGATATCAGGGGCGTAGCCAGCTTTCAGTCAGGGGGGAGTGCAATTGCCAAAAATATTTCGGTTTTCAGTCGGGGGGGGTGCGATTGTGACATAAACAGGGGGGGTGCGATTATGACATAAACAAGCCAAAAATGATTTTTATATTGATTTTTACAAAAACTGGATGCAAGTTCTTTCCAAAGTGAGATAGAAGCTTCAAATAAAAAGCATTTAAAAGCTCTTTGAGTCCTCTTTCTCAGGGTTTTATTTTTATTGGTTTCCGCACCCCCCCCCCCCTCCTCCTTGGCTACATCTATATATATTTAGAAAGTTTCAAATAAATAACTCAGCAACCAACCACGCAAGTAACCAACCAAGCAACCAAGCAAACGACCATCCAGGCAAGCAGGAAACTAAACAAGTAAAAAAAGCAAACCATGCAACTTACAAATAAAGCAAGCAAACAACCGACAAACCAACCAACCATGCAAGCAATCAATCGTGCTAATAAACAAGCAAACAAACAATCTACCATCCAAGCAACTAATTAACATAATTCAATAAGAAAAAATTTAACCTTGCGCACATTTGCTCTACAGTAATAACTAGACATTTAAAATCACCACGGGGGCGATTTCGTAGAATGCCGTTCCTCGCCGCAGCAGCAAATTCGGTGCACAAATGACCTTTTTCAAGGTCACGCAGAGGTCGAATTCCAAAACCGAAAGCATATTTAGAATCAGGGACATCCATACTTCATACTTGCAAAGAATTGGAATGAAAATCACCCAAATTATAAACCCTAGAGATATGTTAAATGGGAAGAGTAAGGCATGCAAAAAATAACTACAGTGGCTCCTTGAACAGGTAAAACAAGAAATAAGTTTTACGTCATTTTACGGTGAAGGTCAAAGGTCAAGGTCAAAATGTTGACCTAATTTACTCTAGTTTAGTACAGTGTAATACAATGGTACCAATTTCGAATCAATTTTAGCAATTTAACCTTTTTGACCTTTTCAAGGTCACCCGGAGGTCACATTCCAAAACCACAAGCATATTTAGAATCAGGGACATCCATACTTCATACTTGCAAAGAATTGGAATGAAAATCCTAGTTTTCAACTTTGAGTTCATTTGAAGGTCAATGTCAAAGGTCAAGGTCAAAATGGTGACCTGATTTACTCTATCCGAGTACAGTGTAATACAATGGTACCAATTTGGAATCAATTTGAGCGATTTTGATTTTTGAACTTGTTGACCTTTTCAAGGTCACTCAGAGGTCGGATTCCAAAACCGAAAGCATATTTGGAATCAGGGGCTTCTATTCTTTATATCTGCTCAGAATTGGGATCGGATACACAGTTTTCAAATTTTGCCCCACTGGGGTGCCCCATTTTTCAAACTTGGGGCACCCAATTTTAAAACCCGGAATATATGTGAAATGGCAATTGTGAGGGATGGCATATGCAAATTTTGGGTAAAAAATAAAAATGGTTACTCCTTGTACGTGCAAAAATGTAAAAATTTGACCTTGGCTAATTAGGGAGGGGCTAATTCAAAAAATGAAGGCATTTCCCTGTAGCCCAGGAACATGTCAAGGTTGATGGTATATGCTAATTAGCTGACATGTCGGTGTGTGCGGAGAAATCTTGCGTGGAATAATAAAATAAGAAAAAAAATTTCGAATTTGCTTGTCCTTTAGTGTTCCTCTCGTCCCGATGGCAATCACTCTTAAAATGCGACTCATATACCGTTACCCCTATATGAATTTTTATTAGACTCCAGATGTCAATCTGGAGTCTATTGTTTTTGCCAGTATTCTTATTATTATTATTCTTATTCTTATTATTCTTTTTGAGTTTTTTCAATAACTATAAGGTATCCAGTAAATACCATAATACAGTTCATTTAGGTTTAGTATCTAGTTGGTGGGAAATTGGGTCAAATTTTTATCT